AGAGAAAACCCCTGCTACCAGTTAGATTTGTTTTTTCTTCCCATGACTTTTTTTCTTTGAGCGACATTTAGGTATCACATGTGCTGGCACATACCCCCATATCCTGCTTTTATCCTGATGAGCTTAGCAGGCATTTTGAATTGGTTCATGCTCAGCCTTTCCTTTAGGCTCTTTTTCAACAGCCATGCTCTGAGCTGTTTTATATTCCTAGGTTATAAAGGAAAGCATTTTACAAGACTTGCAGAAAACTGGGACAGAAGGTGGCCTTAAATCCTTTGAACAGGTATGTACTACTCATGTTATACCTGGTCTCTCATGTCATAAAGTTTTAAAGTTCGCATTTATAATGGGGTTTAAAATTTTAAAGTAGTTTCCAAGGAACTGATTTTAGAGGTACTATTAGTCCATTAATGACAGTAACCTTTGCATTTACCTGTCCAGCCCCTTCATGCTGTTCATTATTCCTCCTCCTTCTCCACTCATGTCTTTCCCAAGTTATCAGTGTGTGAGAATGGGCATGTGTTACCTTTCTCGTTACCCTCCCACTTCATCAGCGCCACTTTTATGAGGGGAAATATTCTTTAAGGTTCTTCCCATAGCATTTACAGGGCTCTGCGGAACCGTCCACATCACTATTAAACACGTATGCGTGCATCTTCCCTCCCAGGTCAAACACATCTATCTTCATCCAGAGCCATTTTCCATTGAAAACGGGCTCTTGACACCAACCTTGAAAGCAAAGAGGGGAGAGCTTGCCAAATACTTTCGGACTCAAATCAACAGTCTGTACGAGAAAACCCAGGAGTAGGTTAAGGTACTTATGGCTGCGAGGGGCTCAGAGGTAGCCTGCCTTGTGGGAATATGGATTAAAAACTAATCTTATGTTCATTTTTTTGTCTTTCCTCCTGTCTGTTGTTGTAGCTACTTACTAAATTATAAAACCATAGTTTCAGGGCTTTTTAAAAATATTAAGTGAGAGAACTTACCATGTGGAAGCTTAGTCTTGAACTAAATAACTCTTGTCCTTCCCATCTTAAATGTTGCTGACATTTAGGGCTACTTCTATCAAGATACCTTTCTTCAAGGTCCATTTGTATCTTTGTTCCTTCCTTGTGATCTCCAACGTTTATAAGTGTAACTAGTTCAAGGGCCAAAGTGACCCTTTGGGAATTCTTCCATGTTTTCTAGTAAACCTAAATTGTTGGCAGTCTCAACATTTAGGCCTTCCAGTGTTCAAATTAAGAGAACTTTAAGTTCTGAAAAGCTGTTTATAATTCATGTTTTCTAACCATTCCACAAAACCACTAAAATTGAGTTTTAAGCTATCACAATATTAATTAGTCATATCTGTGAGACAAATTTCTTCTTTGTACTTCTGTGTCCACTGAAGTTTGTGTCCAGAAGGGAAAAGTTTGATCACTCAGCATTTCCTAAACCCTGTAGTTTCTCTGACTTGGGAGAATTTAAAACTGGGCCTATGACATTTTGTCCAAAAAGTATGTTCTGAAAGTGTTTTCTGCAGTATACCTGGTAACTGAACCTCTTCCCGACAGTTTGCTGCTGAGCTGGAAGCTGTGGGGGAAGGAGCTGAAACTCACGTCAAGTGCATTTTTCCAGTAAATGAAGCAAGCACTGAGTAACAACCTCCTGAACTGGGAATGAAGACCTATGGGCAAGCATGAAGCCTGCACAGCAGGCTTACCTTCTGGGAAGGAAGTGACTGATCTTTCCTCCCCTGACTCAGTTCCTGCTGTACCTTACACCCCTTCAACACGTGCTGCTTCCATTTGGAAATGTTCAGCATTCAGAATAAACCACTGCAGATAGCTTAAGCTGTGGTGTGTGTTTCCCCACAGACTGTGACGAGAACCAGCCTCAGACAGGACCCCTTAACAATCATGTAAGCTAGTGGCTCTCACACTTGGCTACACACTAGAATTACCTGGGAGTTTAAAAAGATATTGAGGCCTGCGTGACACTTAAGGGATTCTGATTAACATGGGCAGGGGTACAGCCTGGGCATCAGGATTTTTAAAAGGTCCCCAGGTGATTCTAGAATGCCACCAGGTTTGATAGCTACGTTGAAGACCAGGCCTTCTTATCCCACAGCTGTGAACAATAAAATAAATACCAGTCGAACCCTAACTCCAACTGAGCACAATTCATGTTCTTTCTCCTTTATCATCCAAGTAGTCTTGAACAGTGTTCCTTTCTGGTCTCTCACCGGAATTAAGGAGAATGTTCCTGGATGGTCTTTCTAGACCCTGAGCCCAGAAGAGCTGAGGAAACATCTATTCTTGGATATTTGAAACAGAAGGGCAGGCAGGAATTAACTTCCCTCCATGTCTATCTAACTCCCACTGTCTCCCTGACCTCCTCTCACACGCCCCCTTCACTCATTCCAACTGCACCACACTGGCTGCCTTCCTGTCCTCAAACATGCCAGCCACATTCCAGCCTGTTGTTCTGCCTAAAATGCAGATATTCCCAGAGACATGTGATCTGTCCTCTAATCCACTTTAAATGTCACCTCCATCAGACTGTCCCACCTGCTTTCTTCATAATATATGACTCCATCTGACATATATTTTACTGTCTGTCCACCTCCCTACCCCTCACTGGAATGAGGCCGAGTTGTGCTTCATTCATTGATGAATCCCCAAGTGCCCTTCCCTTATTGTTAACTGTTATAAGCCAGACCCCCAAAGCTCAAGTTCCCTGCCTTGGAAAGAATTACTGCTGGAATAGGTGACTACTATAATTCTACTCATGTGTTTAGAAGAGCCCAAAAAATAGCTTTGTATACTACAAAGCTACAGTAATCAAAACAGCATGGTACTGCCACAAAAACAGACACATAGATCAATGGAACAGGATAGAAAGCCCGGAAATAAACTCAGGTGCTTATGGTCAATTAATCTATGACAAAGGAGGAAAGAATATACAATGGAGAAAAGACAGTCTCTTCAATAACTGGAGCTGGGAAAACTGAACAGCTACATGTAAAAGAATGAAATTAGAACATTCTCAAACACCATATACAAAATTAAACTCAAAATGATTAAAGACCTAAATGTGGGACTGGATACTATAAAACTCCTGGAGGAAAACATAGGCAGAACACTCTGACATAAATCACAGCAATATCTTTTTGGATCCATCTCCTAGAGTAATGGAAAGAAAAGCAAAAATAAACAAGTGGGACGTAATTACACTTAGAAGCTTTTGCATAGCAAAGGAAACCATAAACAAAAAGGCAACCTACAAAATAGGAGAAAATATTTGCAAAGGATACAACCTACAAGGGATTCATTTCCAAAATACAGAAACAGCTTATACAGCTCAATATCAAAAAAATAAACAACCCAATCAAAAAAGGGGCAGAAGACGTAAACAGACATTTCTCCATACAGATGGCCAATAGGCACATGAACAGATGCTCAACATTGCTAATTATTCGAGAAATGAAAATCAAAACTACAATGAGATTTCCTCACACAGGTCAGAATGGCCATCATCAAAAAGTCTACAAATAAATGCAGGAGAGGGTGTGAAGAAAAGAGAACCCTCCTGCACTGTTGGTGGGAATTGGTGCAGCCACTATGGAGAACAGTATGGAAGTTCCTTCAAAAACTAAAACTAAGTTACCATATGATCCAGCAATCCCACTCCTGGGTATATATCCGGAAAAGCTGAAAAAACTAATTCAGAAAGATACATGCACCCCGATGTTCATGGAACCACTATTTACAATAGCCAAGACATGGCAGCAACCTAAGTGTCCATGGACAGATGAATGGATAAAGATGTGGTGTATAAATGCAGTGGAATATCACCCAGCCATAAAAAAGAATGAAATAATGCCATTTGCAGCAACATGGATGGACCTAGAGATTATCATACTAAGTGAAGTCAGACAGAGAAAGATAAGTATCATATGATATCACTAATATGTGGAATCTAAAAAAATGATACAAATGAACTTATTTAAAAAACAGAAATAGACTCACAGACATAGAAAACAAACATGGTTACCAAAGGGGAAAGAAGCAAGGAAGGATAAATTAGGAATCTGGGATTAATAGATACACACTACTATATATAAAATAGATAAACAAGAACCTACTGTATACCACAGGGAACTATATTCAATATGTTGTAATAACCTATAATGGAAAAGAATCTAAAAAGAATATATGTGTATATATATACATATATTATATAACTGAATATCTATACACACACATATATATATAGATATATAGATATAACTGAATCACTGCTGTACACCTGTAACACTGTCAACCAATTATACTTCAATTTAAAAAACATCTCCTAGGGCTTCCCTGGTGGCGCAGTGGTTGAGAGTCCGCCTGCCGATGCAGGGTACGCAGGTTCGTGCCCCGGTCCGGGAAGATCCCACATGCCGTGGAGCGGCTGGGCCCGTGAGCCATGACCGCTGGGCCTGCGCGTCCGGAGCCTGTGCTCCGCAACGGGAGAGGCCACAATAGTGAGAGGCCCGCGTACTGCAAAAAAAAAAAAACAAAAAAAAAACGTCTCCTAGAATCCTGTGATCTCAATGTGCCATTAATTGGGTAATTTGAGGCAAATATGTATGTCTAAAGACTCATGATTAAAGATGTCGATTTTTCACAAGGCAGTAAAGCAGTTTTTCCATAAGGAACTAAGACAATCCTTTTTCGTCAGCAAAAAGATACTTTGAGTAAAAACTATGATTTATACAGAACATCCATTGATCTTTATTTGATTTGACAAAATCTTCATTATTAAAAGACGGGTAATAAAATCTGAGCTTACATTGAATCTGCAAATTAAGTTCTATAGTATCTAGAATATTACATAAGAAATTTCAGCAGAGGGGGAGAGAGGATAAAAGCATCACATGCAGATGCTCCTGGCAAAGGGGGAACTATATCTGCAGGTGAGGTCCATCGTGTGCAGTGCATAAAAAAATCCTAGAGAAAATGCAATCGACTTACTTGGGTGAAGTGTTTTTCCTTTTGGGGAGAGGGAGCGGTGGCATCGAGGTGCAGGAATTCAAAGGTATGTGCAGAATGGCTTCTCCATTTCAAAATGATAATAAAAATATTTAGATCATGGCATTAGGGCACCTTTGAGGAAAAGAACACCTTAACCAGAGTAGGCTCATTGCATAATTCTTTAGTAATATGTACAATTTTCAAGTAATGGAGCAGACTTAGAGTAATTTTACTTCAAAAGTGGCTATCTATTTTTCTTCTCGCCCTCTGGGGCTTGATCTGTTTCAGCATCGCAGGGACACTTTTCTACACAGTTTCTAGGGAACCATCCTCTTATTCTTGAAACATCTGAGGGAGAAAATGAAACTGATATGAAAAAGTCAGATATACCGCAATGACATTTGTGAGACCCATTAGTTCTATTACTTCCAATTAATAAGCTTTTAGTTAGACTTTACCACCCCCCACCATCTTTTATAAGCACAATATGTGGTTAAAGTTAAATAAATAAATAAAATTAAAAAAAAATGTTCCTAACAAGCTAGGAAACAGATATTTCCCAAATTGCATCATCTGGGAAGGAGCTGATGCGGCTCAGGAGAGCCCCAGTGGAGTGGGGGCAACTTGGTGTTCACGTACATGTGTGTGACCATGAAGGAGGATGGCTCTGTCATACTTCATCTGTTCCGGGGGACTATCTCCCTGTAGCCTTTGTGAATTTTCCTTTTAGACTTTCTCTAACTTGTGCACTTCTATATCAAGCTTGCCTAAGCTGTCACATGGGTTAATTTATGATTAACCCAGTGTTTTCAAAAGAGCATCCTGGGTTAATCTTTACTTTAAAAAGGAACAATTCTTAAAAGTAAATAAAAAATCAAGGACACAGTTTCAGTTCATTAGTTTTTATAATAACTTAATAGGACGAGTCATTCAATGGGGGCGCGTATAGCATGGCAGCTTAGTCATAGGCTCTGGAGCCAGACTGCGTGGGCTGGAGTCTTGGCTCCATCTGCATTTAGCGTGGCCTTGGGCACGTTGCTTAGCCTCTCCACGTTTCAGTTCCCTCACCAATACCTCGGAGGGCTGTTGGGGACCTGAATACCACAAGTGAAGCATTTCCACAAGTGCCTATTGCATAGTTAAGTATGGGGTGTGATGTTTGCTAATCATTGCAAAGACCCGATAAATACAAGTGTATGGAGAAATAATACAAAGAGCTTCTTTTTGTTGTTTAATGATGTGCCTTCCTATTTAGTTCCCCTAATGCACGTGACGTGACTGTTTATAAAAGTTATTCTTGTAAAATTTGCAGCTATTGCCGGCAGTCTTGTTCTTTAAACACCCCCTTCCACTTTCATACCTTCTTTAATGGAATCATCAAGAATTTTATCTCCATACAACCAGTATCTGAAATATTTAAAAGATTAAAATTAATTTTTTTTTTGGCTAGATGCCGATTTCGTCATTCAAGAAGAAATTCGCTACTTTCTGTCACTTACCGTAAGCCTCTTGTGGCTAAAATGAACTCCCCTTTCTGTAGCCTTATCCGAGGCTCTTCAGTGCAGGGGCTCGTGAAGAAGGTTTTGATTCCTCTATTCAAAGGACAGCAGGTACCACTATAATCTTCTATTACTTTATACTGAACCTGTCATCAGTGAGCAGAAGAACAATTTAATATTAACTCATACCTGAGGTTTTTGAAGTTTGAATGTAAACTGTTAAAGGTAGATCCAAAATATGAGGCAAGTCTTTCCCTCCTGGTTCCCTACCTACCCTTTATAGAAGGTAATTAATTGATGCTTCTAATTCTCAGGCTTTTCCTTACCCTTCATTTCAAGCACATGGCTAAGAATGAAATTTTAGAAGCAGTGCTGTCCAGTAGAACTTTCTGCAGTGATAGAAATGTTTTATACTTGTGGTATCCAGTGTGATAGCCGCTAGACACATGTAGCTACTGAACACTTTTAATGTGGCTGGTGCAACCAAGGGACTTAAATTTTAATTTTATTTAAATTAATTTAAATTTAAATAGCCACATGTAGCTAGTGGCCCTTGAATTATTCAGCATCACTGTAAGGACGAGTTTCACACTAGGGAACTATATTGAGGATAATTATCTTCTGACAACATAAATTGACTACATTCCCTCCAAACCTCCAGCACAAACTATTTAAATGAAAACAAAACTAATATGCATTAAATTTCAACAAATGTATTAAGAAATATTAGTTAATAAAAGCTAACAGTTGGTTTTTACTCAAAGGCAATTTTAAAACTACACAGAAGTACAGAGCCTGACAAAAGAAAAAGAAATTAGTATCATTGCAAAAGAATTACTTACACTTCTGACTCTTTTATCTGCTTTTTGTTTCAACTGTTCTATCTGTTTGGAAGATATAAAAAAAAAACAATGAAGTCTCTTATCTCAATGTTTAAAAACAGGCTTTCCTCATTTACTATAGCACAGTGACAGGACAAACTCCCAATTTTCCAACATTTCAAATTGCTGACAATTTAAAGGCCGCCTTTTTTTTTTTTTTTTTTTAGCATGGAAAGAAGGCCCTGTGACTAAAAACTGGTACTGAAGTGGGGCCTCCTCAGTGTTCCCTCTCCAATGTCTTTATTCACAGAGCACTCCCTGTGGCCCAGGAATCAGGGAGATGTGCTCTCTGCCCTCAGGGGGCTTCCGGGCTCGTCCCTGAGGTGAAGAGGATACAGAGACTCACTGATTCTTTAGAGAGAGGGCAAACAGACTGCAAAATTCACCAACAATGAGTCTTGATTAAAATTCACCATTTCAACTCCTTTTCTCCACTTATTCAGCAAGTTTATTAAATGTTACTACACTAGATATAGCAGGGGAAATAACCTCTGCCTAGAATCTTGCCAAGTTAAGTTAAAGACATAAGATACAAGAATTAAATAAAGATGAGACCTCATGTGCTAATATGCATTAGTATACGATTAAGTGCCAAATCCAGCTGAGTCTAGAGTGGGGAGGTAAGTCTTTATGGAAGAGAGGGCACTGGAACTGGTCTGAATAATTTCCGATAAACAGGAGCTCATATGACATAGAAAAAACAGTGTTGGGGAGGAGTTAGGTGTCAGGAATCTACCAGGAATTCGCCGAGTAGACTAGGCTGATTGGAAAGGATGATTCCTGCTAGGATGTACGTGAAAGGTAGCTTTTGGCCAGATTTTATAAAACTAAGTTAAGGAATCTCACAGGTATGGAGAGATAAGGAATGATTTAAATGGAAGGAGGGACATGATACAAGGAGCGCTTTAGAATTAATTTAGATTCATTTGACATACTGAAAAAATTCTTATTACTTATTTTACTATAAAATGCCATTGGAGTTAAGGAGAAGTTAAGGGGAAGAAGGTGAGGCAAAAAGGCAAGACTATCTGAACAAAAATACTCACTGTTAAGCTGTACGGGTGACAGCCTTCTCTTATTGGCCAATCCAGTCCATCTCCTTTGGGGACCCCTGACCACGTAAAAACCTGTTTAAAGTTCTTCCATCTACTTCCCAAATCATAAGGAAAAACAAAGACTTCATCTAGTTGATAATATTGAATTCGATCTTTAGCCTGTGGGTAACAAAGATGTAAGATGGCAGATACATCTGTCTTAAGTGGCTTTTAGTAATATACTATCGAGAACATTTATTCCTCAAATTTGTATCATACCTAAAAATGCTTCCTCCTTGTTGTAACGTTAGAGTACACAGGAGAAATAAACACACTTATCACAATATAGGAAGAACTTGACACACAATACCAACCTTGTATGAGACCATCCAGAAAATGTCTGACAGGAGTTACTCAGGAATACGCCTAAATAAGACCAAATTTAAGCATTCAAAAACATTTATTAAAGGAGTCAGTAACTTTATTCCATGTAGAAAAAGTCCTCAATGTTCTTGCTTGTTCAGCAGAACAAAGGAATCCAGGTGTAAAGAAGACATACTGATAAGGAGGTTTAAGAGAAAACAAGGGTTTATTCAGGATGGAAGGAACCGTTAGGTGGGGTGCACTAGAATGCAATGGCTGCATCCTGGGTGGCAGCAACACCTGTGTGAGTGGCCAGGAAAGGTGTGACGGGGGAGTCATCATTCTATGAAAATTATTATTTTTTAAAGCTAGCAAGTATGTGTAAGAGATCTTTCAGTTTTATATACCATTACATATGTCTATATACTTATTTATGGAGGCATTTATATGTACATCTTATGCATATATATATAAATATTCAGGTTTCATAAATTATATTCTAGGCATTTAAATTGTTAGCTTTTACTTAAAGGGATAAACTGGCTTAGAATTTCTGATAGAAATTTCTAAGAAATTTCTTAGAATTTCTGAATTTCCACTGACACCTAGTGGTATAAAGATACACCATTTATTCCTACAATAAGTGTACAAATCCAGTTGATACTTACAGTGTAATAAAATCTGTAATTCTGATACATTTTAATATCAATACAATCATTTATTTGATTTCTACTGAGCAACAGAGCGCCAGTTTTAAAATAACTTCTAGATTTAGCGTGGCACTTTATAAAGAGCTTTGGTCATTAGCAAAAAAACACTGTTAATCTAATGTCAACACATTATGCTAACTAGAGATGATACCTTGAAATATTACCAGGGGATAGTATTTTAGGGAAAAGCTTTTGCAGTTACTTATAAAGTGATGTTGATTCAATTAAAATTGTCAAGCTGTAACATGACAACATGTAAGTCCATCCCCACCCAGACAGTAAAGGGTAATTTCTTTTCCCTTTTTAAAAGCAAAAGCTTCAGAGTCTTCAAAATGAATTAAGAGACTCCGAGAATAGAGATCTAGAATATTAAGAAAGAAAAAGTGCTAAGGATGAGAGTAGCTTACAAAAATAACCAAGGCATGGTCTTTAAGAGAAGCACTCAGTGAAGATGGGGGATTCCAGCAATACTGTGTGTTAAAAGGTGACAGAGATGTGCAGTAAGTGCTACAGGAAAACGGTACAGAAGTACTTAACCTAGTCTAGGGAAAGTCAAGGAAGGTTCCTTGGAGGAAGTGACAGCTAAATTAAGTGTTGAGGGACAAGAAATTAGGCAAAAAATAGGGGGAAAGAATATTCTAGGCAGAGGGAACAACATGTGGAAAGATACAGAAGCATAAGATGTGCAAACTATTTGGTATTAGCTGGTATTGAGTGTGAATGGGGTGGGAGGGGTGGAAATGAAGCTGGAGAAGCAGGTAAGAGCAAGATATAAAAGGTTTTATTGATATTACGCTTAAGCTAAGGAGCTTGGACTTAAACCCGTACATCAGTGGTTCCCAAAGTATGCTCTGCATACCTCCTTGAGTCCCCAAGACCTTTTCTTGGAGTTCAACAAAGTCAGACAACTTTCATAATAATACGAAGATGTTATTTGCCTTCTTCATGGTGTTGACATTTGCAACGGTGGATAAAACTGCTGGCACCTTAAGCAGGAATCAAGACAGTGGCACCAAACTGTATTAACAGGTGCTATATTCTTCACTGCTACACACTCATAATTCAAACAAAACCAAACCAACAAAAAGCCCAGTTTTACATAAAAATTTCTTGATGAAGAAATAAAAATTATTTTTATTAAATCTCAGCCCTCAAGTAGATGTCTTTTTTTTTAAAGTAGATGTCTTTTTAATATTCTGTGTGACAAAATGGGAAGTACACATAAAGCTTGCCAAAGTGCTTATCTCAAGAAAAACACTTGTTTGAGTTGTGAGCTAACAAAAGCTGTGTAGCCAGCTTTTTTCATATAATGCTATTTTTACATGAAAGAATGAGTAATGTAACAGAAAAACCAAGGTTATTCAGACCTTGGTATTTAGTGGATGTCTTCTCGAAAATGAACAAAGTCAGGCTGTTACTTCATATAAACAACTGAGTATTTGTTGCCAGTGGAAAAAATAAGGCTTTCAAGTGAAAATTGGAATTTGGAAAATTTATAGCCACAACTATGAGCTTGACAGCTTTCCAATATTTAAAGATTTTCCCCATAAAATTGGTAGTGATATAAATGAATGCGGCTTTTAGATATTGTATAATGAAATGTGTCAACATTTAAAAAATCTGTGTAATGCTGTAAACTACTATTTTCCAAATGACCGATGCCTGATGCCCTATGTGGGTACCAGGTCCATTCAAAGAGCAAGATAGATTGATGGATTTAAATACAAAAGAATACAAAGAGTTTACTGATGTAGTTTCAGATCTCACATGCAGCTAACCTCTCAAGAACTAGCACTTGTCAAGCTTTAATGTATTATCAAGGAATATCCACTATTATCTAAAAGACATGTTAAAATACTCCACCCTTTTCTACCTACTTATCTGAGGCTGAATTTTCTTCATATACTTCAATCAAAGCAACATATCTCAACAAATTGAATGCAGAAGTAGATGTGAGAATCCAACTGTCTTCTGTTAAGTCAGATATTAGAGATTTATACAAAAAAAATACCACTTCCTATTTTATTTTGGAAAATTTAATTATTTTTCCCAAAAACATGTTATTTTTATTAACATATAATGGATTTATTGTTATTTTAAAGTGAAATAATAAATATTCAAAGATTTTCTCAGTTAGAAAATATGGCAAATGTCAATAGATATAATACACATTAACAAAAGCTCTTTAGTGTCCTTAACAATTTTTGAGAATGTAAAAGGTCCTGAGACCAAAAAGTTTGAGAACTGCTGCTGTAAATGAAAGCTCACCAGCTGGCTGCCGGGAGGCTAAATATGTCCTATAGGTGTTTTATTTGTCCCACAAAGGCTTTTTGTTTGTTTTTAATCTGAATTGCTTGCCAATGCTTAAAAATAGAAAGGAGGTAACACAGAAATCCAGATCTCTGACTTTTCTTGGAAAAAAAAAATATATACGATCTCACAATACTGGGTGAGGATTTCCCTGTGGCACCAATCAGCTTCGTCTGCCGGGCAGCTCTGGCCCACAGACTGGCTCCCCGCATCTAGGTTATCTGCCTGGGCCCTAGTGCATTTGGGTTTACAACCCCTGCTACAGTGATAGTGAGGCTCTGAGAAGTTTTAAATAGGGAGTGGGGTAGTCAGATGTACTTTTTATATCAGAATCACAATGGACAGCGTGAAGTATGTACTGGAGGTTGTGAGGTTTGTAACAAGCTAAATGTTATAAGCCCATCTGATGTCTAAAGCCTATGTGATGGCACCTTGGTAGGACAGAAGTTCCTTTCCCAATGGGTTCCCTTCTCCTCTAGTCTGAGAGGAGCCAAAATGGTTTCATGTGTGGCTTAGGCCTCTTCAACAACTCAGTGTGTGAGAGAGCTCTGTGGGAGTCATATTAAACCAGGAATAAATCAAACGGTCCCATGATCGCCTTTTACATGGCATGCAAATGACGTAAGGAAGCCATTTGGTAGCCAAGTTTTCATTTTGGGGCATTTATTAGTTAATCTGGTCTATTAGTTAATCAGTACTTTATCGATATTGAGGAACAATTATAAAATTTACCTTCTCTTCAATCCATGATTCAATAGAAGTTTTGTTTCTGAGAATTATTTTCATCTGGAAATTAAATGATAAATAGTAAAATTTCATAATGTGACTGGTTCATTTAAGATTATAATCTTTACACTAACCCTACGAGGTAGTTTTTATTGTTCCACTCCATAGATGAAGATATCAGGATAACAGAGATTAAGTAACAGAGTGTGGTCCATCTGACTCTTAACCACTGTACATCTTCACATGAATGACTACATTGATCCACAGTCAAATCTGAATCTACTGTTTAAATAAAAAATCATGTTTTATGTACTATCTTCTGAATAGGTTTTTCAGAGTATTAATAAAATATTGATATAATCCATTCAATCAGTATTACATAGATTATGCTATTGAAATCTTTTACCACTATTTTTAATCTTAAATACATGATTAATCTATTTATTACAAGTAACAGTGACTCATTTCAGTCAACCTAGATATTTTGCTTGCTGTAAAAACTGAATATTTTCAGTCCTGATTCTATTTTTTGATCTTCCTAGCTATGGCAATTCCATTTATGTAGGTTTTTACACCACAGGATTTTAGTTTATTTCTAATATGATTCTTAATTCTAGGGATCGGGGAAAATTTTTCAAAGAATTTGATCCCAGGCTAGTAGAAAATGTGAACTATAACCAAAACCAGGTTATTTTAAAACCAAGAGTTCAAAAAGGGTTGGGTGATGCATCAGGGCCCTCAAGCCCAGCGTTTCTAATTCGATATGTCCTGCAATTCTTTGAAGTCTCGATGTGCCTTCATGGAGACAGTGTGACACAGTAAGAACAAACCTGGACTGGGAGTCCTTATCATATTCCAAGGGCCTAGCACAATACCTGGTCCACAATGGGCCTTCAATGAATGAATAAACTAATTAAGCAAATGAAATGAGTCATAAGAACTATTTTTTGATCCGTTCAGGGCCACATCCTCCTTCTCTGTGTTCTCACTGCACTCTGTACATAAATCTATGCTATACACATGACCCTGTATTAGTTAACTCTTCACCACTCATTGTGAGTTCCCTAATGGCAGGAACCCTTCATTTTCATTCTTGTAGCCTCAGTAATTAGCAAAGTGATTCATCACAGAGTAGACATTAAATAGCACCTATATTACAGGGTTGTTATGGAGATTAAATGAGCTGACACATGTAAAAAGCCTAAAACAGCACTCAATAAGTGTTAGCTATGTTATTATGATTTTGATTTAATATATGCTACTATAAAATAATAACAATTATGTTCATTGAATATATGTTTACTGAATACATGAATGAATGATCTTGGCTATGTCACTTAACCTTCCTGTGACTTAATTACTAATCTGTAAGGAAGGGAAAATAATACTCCTCTTCGACCTCTTTTGGGGTTGATGTGAAGATCAAGAGAGACGGTGAGAAGAGCTTTCTCAAGTATAAAATGCTATATAACTCTAAGTTAGTATTTTTAAAATTAAATCAATAACCTAGAAATTCTGGCAAAGTCACTTCAAAATTATCTGACTAGTAGAAGATTAAATTAATCACCTAGATGGAATACATAACAATAATCTCCACTTCACACTGCATACTTAAATGGAAGCTTTATCTCTTTCTCTTTACAAGTGGCCCCAATAACTTGACAACTTTAGCTAGAGGTAATAGAGGAACTTACCTGGATAAAAAACAGCATCCCAACAGCTATGGTTGTTCCTAAAGCTAATCCCAAGGCAAACAAGGTGGCAGCAAATGCAGCTAATCCGAACGGAATAATCGGAAGAGGATCTCTCCGGGCTGCACTCATATCGATCTTTACCGTGTTCCACCCAAAGGAGAGCTATAAACAATAACAACAACACACAGTCATACTCTACCATTTAAAAGAACTTGGTCAAAAAGATCAACAAATGACAACTTGACACTGTGGCCAAAGCAAACAGAGCTGTTTCTAATCAACACTGTGGTTTGAACTCATACTGATATGCACGATACCATTCTTCAGTATTCTAAAACGTTTTTTGTTTGTTTGTTATTGTTCCCTCAGAAAGTGTTAAGTAGACCACACAAACATTACTATGCATGAACACCACCAATCTAAGCTGTAACTGCGTCTCCCATCCTCTCCTTGTTTTCCTCTATTTACAGTGATTTCCACAGCGACAAACATAGCCTAGCATTCAGTGGTTTCTTCCCTTATGTTCCACAAGGAGAGGTTTAAAAACTAGCAAAATGTAGGCCAAATGTGGCCTGCCGATGTGTACTGCCTGGCCTACAAAATGTTTTAAAATATTCAGTTAGGTACCAACATTTAGAAATTTAGTGATTTAGAAATCAGATTTCACATAAAAAGTCCAGATTTTCAGATTTTTCTTGAAAAACCGGATGATCTGACATCACCAGGCTGGATTTCCAAACATCAAGAACTGGCTGAAGTCAAACATGGGCTGTTCCCTGTGTGAAGGACCTGTGTTTTCCAGCTTACCACATCCCACCAGGCCTGTTTCCCTCACTGACCCTCCAGCCCTCTTTAGGGGCCTCAATTTGTGACGACTGAACTTTATCTCATGACTACTTGCCCATAAATCAACTCAATCAGTTGCACCGTATCTTAGAACGTGCGCCTGCTCTGTGAGCCACGTTCCAGGACACTGGATTTAGAAATGAACAAAAGAACTACAACTGGCCACAGGATCGAATGGAAACAGAAAGCACTAGTGTTGCCTTTTTTCTCCCTCTTCTGCCTTTTCCTCTAACTATTCTTTACCACAGCTACCAAGTTTGAAGTCCAGTAAGTTATACATAGTACTAAAATAATTGTCAACTTCAACTAGAGCATATAAGGTGAGTTTCCAGAACAAAATAATCTTTCCTCATCTTAAAAACTGTTTTACTGCTTTTTTAAAAGGAGTCCTTATTGAGGATTATAAAGTTACAAAGTTCTATTTCCCCACCTAAATTGTAGAAAGCATATTTCCAAAAGGAACTTCTTAAATAATCTTAATAACTACTATTTAAGCTGGCATGATTTTATAACATTTTCTTACCCGATTATAAAGCTGTGTATACATTGTCATAACAAAAATAAAGGCAGCATGAATACAACCCAGTGGTGCTAAAAGGAGAAACAGTGTGAACGAAGCATGATTTTGATAACCACAGCAGTTGTTGATCCAAGGACAGTGATGGTCCATCTTCATCACACACCTAACAAGAAAAATTTACATAAAATGTGAGGCAGAAAATCCTGTCTACTTTAAATAACTTTGGTCTTCAAAAGATCAAGCACATCGAAATCTAGCATGTCCACGCATGGTCACAGAGAAATTATACTTCATGGAACACAAAGAAAAATCTTTATGAGTTTTTAAACAGTGACTTCTTTTAAATTTTAAACAACACAAGAAAGGGCAGGCTTTGTAACAGCATCTGAGGAAAAGATGTCTGCTACAAGTGACTTTGTTTAAAGAAGTCTGGAGGCCCGCTGAGAGGTTCATTATAAAGAAATGAGCATAGTTCCTGGTTTTCCTCTAGCTCTGAAATGCAGTGACTGAAGTGGAAAACAACAGAGACTGAACAAAATTACTTATAAATCTCCACTGGGGTTGATGGGACCTAGCAGACGCTTGTAACTTCCTTCCTTCCTGCTCGTATTCTTTAGATGTGGAGTCTCTAAGCTAAGCAAGCTAACTCCGGAATATAAGATGTGGTTTAATAAGCAAAGTCTTACTCTGTTTCCCTTCCTTGAGGCTGCTAGAAGAAAATTTTCTTGCCTCAAACTAAACTTTATTTGCCCCTCCAATGGTCCCCATAAACCTCAGCATTCTCATCATAAATTTCTTATTTATCACTGGACATAGGTGTTCATTAAAAAAGGTTCTAGCTTAATTCACATTTTTCATAGTGATTCTGTTTTCTTCCGATTAAGTTTTGTATATAAAACACCTGTGATAATAGGCACCTGGATTCATTTATTAGATCTGTATAAAGTGTAAATGTTAGTCAACTAAATAATGGAAAAAGCAGGTCTCATTTATAATTTAGACTCAGAACAATTCTAAGGCTAGTCAAGATGACAGTCGAGAATTAATCCTGATTTATGAAAACAACCTAACGGTGTAACTTTTTACCCTGCTCTTGGCAAGGCAAGAAGCAAAGTAAACCTGTACTTTTCTAGAAAACTCTTTTCACTTATAACAAAAAAGAGTAATACTTATCAAAATTGACAATTTAAAAGTAAAATGAAGATTATGACACTTAATTATTTTGACATTATTTATAAAGTAGCCACCTTGCAGAAAATAAAACTAGGATTGATGTGGTAGAAAGAATAACAAAAGACCAGTAATCAAGTTGATCAATCCCCAATGAATAGCAAAGACAGTACCTGTTACACTTTCTGCAATGATGTGACCGTGGTGCCTTGTATGCTTGGCAGACTTTACAATATTGGAGGTACATGCTATCCTGAGAATTTTCCTTGGCAGCAAAATAGAAACAAAACATAAACTTCTGGGTAATTGGAAAAGTGATGTTGCTGTTACCAGAAATTCACTATTTAAAAATATTTTAACTCAAATATAATGGCTGAAAATGCAAGTTAAAATTCAAATTCCATCCTTTCCCCATCTCCCATAAAAGAAAATCAAACCATAATATTTATTCATAAGGCGTGACTTGTTATTACCAGGCTGTCTGTTATTTCTGAATACTTTATGGTTTAAAACAGTAGTTTCTAAAGAGTTTTTCTCAGTTATAAGGGATGTTAATATGTTACATGAAAAAAGATCCTAGAGCCAAACCACACTGTAGAATTATGAGGTGAATGATATGCAGTGTTTCCTAGAAACTTATGCACTCATCACCACCCTTCCATTTTTTTTTTTTTTTAAAGCAGAAGTATTTAATGAAATTGCTTTGGGAAATACTAATTTAGATCCATACTTTCAAACCAGTATAAAATAAAGTCTTTGAGCTCTAAATAATCGGTGATTAGAATAATACACTTAGTCTCTACCAAAGCAAAGAGCAGGCTGTGTTTGATCTTATTGGTTGGCAGATAAGGCAAAAACTAAACATATGATTATCATGAGGGTTCACCATCTTAAGGAATCTTTTTCTTACCGGTTTCCACCCCAGAGGGACGAAGCCAGGACCAACAAACATGGCATTGAAGTAATTATAAAGAATCATGACAGTCCAATTTATCAACATGATGAAGTTCATGCTTCCTCCAGTGGTATGTAAAGGCCAATACCACAACACAGAGTCAATCATGGCCATGGTAGAACATATTGCTATAACACCAAGGGCTATAATGGGACCCCAGTGACAAAGTCTCTTTACTTCTTGTAGATTTTCAAACTTGATAACTGAGCAGAATGTACCCATTTTGGTGAGGAAGAACTCGTTCCTGTTTTTAAAGAACTATAGATTTCCTTTTTCTGTGCATACATTTCCATGTGCCACAAGTCCACGTGTGTTCCTTAATTGTCATGCCTTCACATTGTGGGATGTTAATGCAGATTATGCCATGTTCACTGTTACACAGTCTTTATGTTTTCTAGGAGAATCCAGTACCTTGGTTTGAAATCCAATCTAAAGAAACAAAATGAGAAAGTTCGGTAAGACATTTTACTATGTACTGTATTTGTTAATTCCAATAATCACCTAAACAAAAGCAGCTCACAAGTACTTTACTATGGAATGAGTACCTCATCAAACGTCAAAAAGAACTATTTTCGTCGTATCCAAACTTTCCTCATGTCTGAATAGCACCTGAACTGGACACGTGATTGTAAAATGGTTGTTTTTATTCTTTTGTTCCCAACTTGTCAGAGGACTGTGTCTATGCAACCGTTTAGTAAATGGTTTGAGGAGACGAAGAATTTTAGAGCTGGGAAGGAGGGCCTTAGGGTTGGCCTAATCCAGCTTCCTTCTTCATAGAAAAGAAAATGGCTTGGAGAGGCTGAGTGAGTAAACCACGGCGGTAACTCAACAGAAGCCAAGTCATCAAACTCCCTCTATGGAGTTCTAAACTGCCTCTTACCCAGTCTCGAATTACATAAAGTATGATCCAGACATGGTCTACACCATTTGCCTGCGGTTGCCCCCCAAACACTAACTTAAGGGTCTATTTGTGTCAAAGTAAAGAAGCGGGAGGGTGAAAGCAAAGAGACTGCAAGGAAGGGAGGGGAGAGATAAGTGTGTGTGAACTCAGGATCGGAGGTGTATATGAGAAGGAACATGATGAGAATATTTGAGGAAAAAAAAAAAAAAAAGAAGAAGAAGAAGTGTCTCCCGGAGCGAGGGACGGGGAAGTCAGGACGGCGAGCGCCGGGAAGATCTGTAGAAGGGTATTTCGGACTGGACTGGAGTGAGTCAAGGGAAGAAGACCAGAGGAACAGAGTAACAAAGACTTCCATGCAACAGATGCCGCTGCCTTGTGCCTCAATTTCCCGCCCGTGTCATGGAGCAGAGCGCTTAGAAATCCTCACTCAGGGGAAGAACATCTTGATAAGAGTGGTTGGTCTCAACACTCTGGAGACTCTGGCCTCACTCGGGTGGAGCGAAGACCGCCAAAATCATGGTTACGTCCCGTGCTTTGACCCCCACCTCGGTCTGGTCCTCAGTGCCCGCTCTTTGGCCATCGCATTTCCGGGGCGGCTCGGGCTCACCCGGAGCAGGTTTTCTCAGGCTCGGATAACTCCGTCATGGGTACCCCAGCCGAGCGCAAGTAGAAAGTAAATCCTGTGTGCTAGAGGCCGGAGTTCGGCACCAGCCTCCACCCTCGCGTTGTTCCGCCATCGGCCTCGCCGCAGCTCTCCCGCTCAGGCTCAGTGCGCAGACTCCGTGACAGCCACTTCCGGGAGGTTCGCCGCATCAAACTTCCCCCCTGGAAACAAGCCCCTCTGACTTGTAGCTTGGGGAGCCGGAGCCGCTTTCCAAAACGTGGAGGGGCAAAAAATGCTTTCGGTGATTCCCGAGAACCCGCATATTTTTTAAGTTTTTGGGGGCACTAACTGAAGGGCTTTTCCTTAGCGAATTTCTTAATCTTGAAGCCCGAACGGAAAACAAAAAGCGCACCCAGCCCAACTTCCGGAGGACCAAGATCGCGAAGAACAACCAGGAAGCGGCCTGGCTGGGAGCTACCCCGGCTTCTCCGCTCCGCTCTCTAGGGAGCTTCCCGCGTTCCTACACCGTCTTTTCCTGCCCCGCGTAGCCCCAGCCCTGACCTAGGCTCCGGCCCGGGCCGGCCACTCCGGAGCCGCCATGTCGTCCGACTTCGAAGGCTACGAGCAGGACTTCGCGGTGCTCACTGCAGAGATCACCAATAAGATTGCGAGGGTCCCCCGACTCCCGCCTGGTAAGAGCCCTGCCCAGGCTGGGCGGGGGTGGCCCGGAGAGCCAGGAGGCTTGGGCAGTGGGCGATGGAACGACACCTGAATAAATGTGTCTCTGGGGAGCGAGCCTGGAGGCAGGTGGTGTTGGGGCCTCCCAGAGGGATGCTTGAGGTTGGTTGAGGGTAAGGGGAGAATCTAAGCTGGGTTGTGGGGTGCAGTGTAAAGAGCCTTTGGCTTCTGAGCCATCTGGGCTCTAATCTGGACTCCGCTGCCTTGTGACTCGTATAACCTTGGGAACGTTTCTCTGAGTCTTAGTTTTGGCTGGGTTTTGTTTGTGAAATATAGAGATGTGAGAGTATCCAAAGAGAATCAGTGAACGTACCCAGATCATGAGTGTGCATCATACAGTAACGTTGTCTTGTTAGTAATGATGTTATTATTATAGGCAGCAAAGCAGTGTTAAGAGCCATAGTACCCGGATTCAAATCCCTGCTCTGCCACTTAGAAGTTGTTGTATTTAGGCAAGTTTCTTAATCTCTCTCAACTTTCCTTCTTGGTAAAATGGAGAGAATTGTGCGTCTCTCATAGGGTTTTTGTGAAGATTAAATGACAACATATGTAAAGCCCTTTCTTGGTGTTAGCTGCTGTAATCATTAGTATCTTTCATACCCCCATCCCCATTTATTATTTTTCATCCTTCCTGGGGATCCATAACCCAGTGTTGTGTAAAACTTGGTACAGGGTAATTTTTCTCACTTTTAAAATTCCACCATTTTCATCCAGAAGAGTTTTGTTTTTGTGCTCTAGCACAACTCATTTTCGATACTGGGCTGTCAGTTATGTGAAGGTGGGAGCTGTGTTTGATTTGCTTGGCATTTACTTAGAACAGGCTCAGGAAAATGTTTTAAGTGAATGAACAGATACATACATATGACGTCTTGTGATTTTTGTCTGTAGGACATTGTTTTAGGATTTATTCTTCGCTCAATACAGATTTAATTTGAGTATTTACTTGCAGAAAAGATTGTGGCTTTGGTGCTCAGTTTTGTTAGTGAAATTGAACCATCTACCTTCGCTCTATGGTGTAAAGTAAAGGAAAAGGAGTGCTCATTGATCTGTGAACTGGTGGGCAACTTCCTTCCTCCACCTTGTTAGTCAATGCTTGATGCCAGCAGTAATTTCTCCTGGACTGAAGTTGTCATTCCTCTTTCCCTTTCCCTACCTCCCCCCAAACTTTTGTGTTTGTAAATAATTTTCTTCCTTTCTTTGTTTTTCTTTTTTTTAATATATAAATTTATTTATTTAGTTAGTTAGTTATGGCTCTGTTGGGTCTTCGTTGCTGCACGCGGGCTTTCTCTAGTTGCGGTGAGCGGGGGCTGCTCTTCATTGCGGTACGCTGGCTTCTCATTGCGGAGCACTGGCTCTAGGCACGTGAGCTTCAGTAGTTGTGGCACGTGGGCTCAGTAGCTGTGGCGCACGGGCTTAGTTGCTCCACAGCATGTGGGATCTTCCCGGACCAGGGATCGAACCCGTGTCCCCTGCATTGGCAGGCAGATTCTTAACCACTGCACCACCAGGGAAGTCCCCTCTTTGTTTTTCTTACCCCCACCTATTTTCTATTAATAGGGACATTTGCTTCAAGCCAGGTTCTCTGAATTTACACCCCACTCATCTCCTGAAGTCCCAGTTAGTTCTGGAGGAGGTGGAGGATGGTGTCTTAAAGAGGTGTACGAGTCCAAGTGAGGGAACAAGGGGAGAGAACCAAGGTAGCATATACCACCAGGCTTTGCTGCCTTGGAGATTTTTGTGGCGAATTGGCTGATGGCCTCATCATTTCATGATACATCACCTCGCCTCAACTCTTCAGTTCTGCTTTCCTCCACTGCCCAATATCATCTTGATTTTTGTTGTCATTGTTGTTGGAGACTACTTCCTTTGACGTCAGTCCCAGAGCCTCAGAATATCAGGATTTGTGGTTTCCGTGGGATTTTTGCTCATTTTTAATTGTGATAGTTTTAGCTGAGGAAACATTTTTTTGTTTGGGCTAATAGGTTTTGTACTGGGAAGCTATTCTATAAAGTAACAAAATCATTCCTGGGTGCAAAGTTGTAACAGCCAATTCCAAGAAAACAGATTTGTTACAATCGATTTTTTTTCTTACCTTTATATTTTAATGTAACCATTCTTACCACATAGAAGGAAACCTTTGAATTAAGTACCTTAAAAATAAAAGTCTTGACTCTCCGTAGGTACAGTATAATGTAATGCCCAAACACAGCAGCTACATGAGAATTGAGAGGAGACTGTATAACTGGCACTGGAAAAATGCTTACTGACTTGAATAATTAAATGCTAGTGATTCTTGAAAATGCTGTGGTTTCCCTCTTAATAATTACTCGTATTTGCTCATTTTATAATGTTTCTAGTTGATAAATAGAGAAAGATGAAAAATATATCTGTGTAGTTATGAATTTCAGATGTTTATCTGTGGACTAACAAATTAATATGTACAACCTTGGCAAAAACCAGTATGAATAAAAGTAATTATAATCTCTTCCTGGCATCTTTGGTAGTTGACCCAGAATTTACCTGAGTTAAGAAGGTTAAAAATTGGAGCAAAATTTTCAGCCAAAGCAGTTTGTTCCCCCAAATATTAACTTACTGAAATGGAAGTGGAGTAGGTAGGATTAATTGCAACTAAGTGTGTGCAGTATACAATGTGCTACCTCTGCTGTGCATGTACAGTGTATTAAAGTGTTACTTCCAAAGAGAATAGAAAAGATTGAAATTTTAAAACTTTATTTTAGAAAAGAAATTAGATTATTCTGTGATACATTTTAAACAATAAAAAAAACTTTCCTGTTAGACTAAAGTGTTTGAATTTTATGTAGTTTTAGTAATTGGACTAATGAGATAGATCAATCCCTTCTTAAGTAATATTCTTATGGCACTGTATTCAAACTTTGATTTTAATGATTAGTATTCTGTGGTAAAGTCAGGACAATGGATGAGTGGAAACCATTGCTAATACTAATTGTGACACTCCTTTTCCTCTGATGATGAATCCTAAGTGGGGGGATACTTCGTAGGGGCAGAGGTTCTGTTACTCAGGCAGGCTTCCTGAAGGATCTTAAACAAAATGTTCCTTTGCAATTAGTTGCTTACCTCACCATGAACAGAGAGATAAATGGTCTGTTGTGAAGCTTATCATTTTGTAGATATAGTCAGAAATACCAAGAAAGGCATTATGGCAAATTGATTACAGTTCACACATGGCATCAGATCTGTTTAGAATCCCAGCTCTGCTGCTTACTAGATGTGCAGTCTTGAGCCAGTTGCCTAGCCTCTCTAAGCCTGTCTCCTCTACCTGGAAAATCGGGGGTAGGGGATAATAGTTTCAACCTTCCAGTGTTGTAAAAATCAAATGAAACAAAGCATATAACACCCTATCACACTTTTTTTTCTCCCCAGAGAAAGTACATGATAAATTAGCCACTAGTGATACTGCTGCTGGTGAAGACAACAGCTGTAGGGTTAGTCAGGACCCAGCTTCTCAGACTTTGTGATGTTAGTTGAACTCTTAAAGGAACCTTGGACCTCAATTTTGCTTCCTTTCTGTGCTAGACTAGAGTTGGGTGAATCTCTCTTGATGAACACCTACATTTGCGGGGAGATGAGTGATTAGGGACTTGGGGATGTGCACGTGGAATGGGGCTTTGAATTCAGGATATCAAAGAGAGAGTCAGGGAGAGAACTGTAAGTGGTGGGGCAAGACAGGTGTCCTTTCTGGAAGGAAATGCTTCAGCCTAACTGATTGGTTATGCCAAGCCCTGAAGGCTTTTGGACACCATCTAGACATGGCCATGTATGGAAGAAGCCATAGCATTGTTCCATGATTCTCTCTTGCCTTTGCAGAGTGGTTGTAGTCAGAGGATTCAGAAAAATCTGCTTTTATTTATGAACACTGTGGTTTGCTTAAAACGTATGTGGCTCTGGAGCTGTAATGTTGATGTGTAGCTACTGAGTGCTTGAAATGCAGCTGTTGCCACATAGTGAAATGAAAGTGTTTTGGATATATTGAGTTAAATATTATTAAAACTAAAAAAATGTATATATTAAAATGAATTTCTCTTGTTCCTTTTTACTTTTTGAAATGTGGCTAGTAGAAAATTTTAAATTACGTTATGTGACTCGCATGCATTACATTTCTATTGTTCTATAAAATTAGAGTTGAAGAGATGGTTCCAGACCTAATTCAGGAACTCAGGTACAGAGTGAGCTGAAGTAGAGTGGGTAGGACTTGAGTTAGGCATATGCACACACGCACACATACCCACACTCAACCTAAGTAATAACTTCATTGATTAAAAAAAAAACTTTTAATTTTAGAACAGGTTTAGATGTACAGGAAAATCACAAAGATAATACAGAGAATCCCTATATACTCCATGCCCAGTTTCCTCTATTGTTAACATCTTACATTAATATGATACATTTGTTGCAGCCAGTGAACCCATATTGATACTTATTATTAACTGAAGTCCATACTTTATTCAGATTTCCTTAGTTTTTTACCAAATGTCCTTTTACTATTCTAGGACCCAATTCAGGGTATTACGGAACATTTAGTAGTCATGGCTCCTCAGGTTCCTCTTAGTTGTGACAGTTTCACAGCCCTTTCCTTATTTTTGATGACTTTACAGTTTAGAGGAGTACTGATCAGATATTTTATAGAATGTTCCTCAGTTGGAATTGGCCTGATGTTTTTCTCATCATCAGACTCGGGTTATAGGTTTTTGAGAGGAGGACCACGGAGGTTAAGCACCATTTTCATCACATCACATCACATCAGGAGTACACACTGTAAGGTAACTTAGCACTCCTGATGTTAACTTTGATCACCTGGCTGAGGTATTATTTGTCAGGTTTCTCCACTATAAAGTTACTCTTTTCCTCCTTTCCATACTGTTTGGAAGGAAACCATAGGCACAGCTGACACTTAAGGAGTAGGGAGTCGTGCTCCACCTCCTTGAAGGCTGAGTATTTAGGTAAATTATTTGGAATTCTTCTATACAGGAAAGATTTGTCTATTCTCCTCCACTTATTAATTCAGTCATTTATATCCATGGACTCGTTTATTAAATACTTCATGTTATATTCTAATACCACTTTATTTTGTTGCTCAGATTATGCCAGTTTTGACCATTGGAAGCCCTTCCAGCTGGCTTTTGTGTCCTTTTGCTATACTCCCATCATTGTGGGGCTTTTTTCCCCCTTTTTAACACTTTCATACTTTCTGATATTATGAGGTACTGTAGGATCATCTTGTATTTTTCCTACACCAGTCCTAGAATCACCAGTCATTTCTCCACGGAATCCCCAACTCTAGTCCTTTATCACAAGGATCATTCTAGAATGGCTTTGTTTTAACATTATTTTATTCATAAAGGGAAACTTGCCATTCTAAGTGGGAAGATTTGCCCCAGTCCTCACTGATACATTTTTTCTTTTTCTGTTTCTCTGTGAATAACAAATGTGTTGCTGAATGCTAAGACTGATTCATTCAGTAAACACTTAGTGAGCACGTACTGTGTACAGCTCTCTATGCTAAATACAAAATTATGACAAACATGTGTCAAGAGTGGTCCCTGCCTTCAAGGAGCTGGAAATGAGGCTGAAGGGAAAACTACAGGAACCAATTTCTAATGATCATCAGGGATGCTAGGGCAGAGGACACAGGTCTAGGAATTCAGAGGAGATAAGATCACGTTCCAGGAGGTCACCTGGAAGGATGGCGGGATTTAGCCGACAAAAACAGGGAAAGAGTGTAAGAGTTGCAAGCAATGGGTTTCTGTTGTTTCGGAAGGCCCCGAATCCCCCATTCTATCTTATGAGAGCAGCGCCTCAATTTTCTGTTGAGGAACTCCCTAAACCCAGTCTTGGTGGAACTGACAGGCTGCCATGCCCTGTCCAGGTCAAGAGGTGAACACTTTACCCAAGCGAGGACATTCAGTGAATTTTTGCCAGGAATTGGAATTTTAACTCTCCTTCTGCAGAGACTGTCGGTGACTTCCTGCTCCCTTGGTTTCCTGAGCCACCCTGGGTACTGTCTTCCCTGAGCTTGGGAACTCATCTTTTCCATTGACTCTGTGATCCACCCTGAATTACTCTAATAAATTCCCTTTTTGGCTTAGGTTAGCCAGAATCAGATCTGTTCTATTCAACCAAAGAACCTAAATGGTAGCTTGAACAACGGCTTAGAGTTGGGGGGAGGGGGGTAGATGTGCTTGGGTAGTAAAGGATAGTCTGTTTGGTTAGTATGCAGAGCACATACAAGAGAGCTAGTAGTTGGAAATAAAGTTGGAAAGGTCTCTTGGGTCTGGAATGTGGAGGGCCTTGACTGTTAGGCTCAAGTGATCCAATCAGAGCCACATTTTAGAAAGATTAAGTGGGGGAAGGGGTCAGGCAGGGAAAAAGGGAAACCAGGGTGGTTGGTAGCATAGTTTCTTTTATAAAGTCTTGCACTGACTACACTATTTATTCAGTTTACCATCAGTTTTCGAGAACTGATTATGTGCCAGGCTCAGTGCTAAATTTTAGGACTAAGACATGGTTCCTGTCTTCCCAGGGCCTCCAAGGTAGAAGATAAATCAGACCTGTAAGTGAGAGATAAATCATGAGGATTAGGTAAGGGTTCTAGGGGTTTTCTGCAAGAGTGAGTAGTTAATTCTTCTGTTGGGTTAGAAAAAGCTTCAAAGAGGTAGTGATTTCTGAAGAGAGTTTTGAATAGCAGTTTGCCACGTAGTCACAGTGGAGATGGGCAGAAGCATAGGGATTAAAGATCTGGAGTCCTGGCAATATATCAGGGTTAGAGGTAAAGGTTTGGTCCAGGATAGGCTTGTCTTGTTTCATATTCTGCACTATTTCAAAAATACAGTGTGGTTCTACTATAATTTGTGGAGATGTTAGATGGATTGACATGTACCAGAAGCATATAAATTTGGAGTCGTATACTAAATTTTTAATCTGGCCGTATGTAGGCTTAACTTTCTCAAAGAGGGAAAATCAAGCTGAATTTTAATTCTAAATGTGCACTTTTCTTAGGGAGAAATTCTTAGAGTACACACAAAACACTTTCTGTGATAGCTACCCCCTAGTTTGGAGGGGGGTGCTGATCAAAGGGAAGGAGTTGAGGTTATCAGAACCTAGTTATTATTCTAGTAAAATAATAACTTCTATTAAAGATTCCCCACTTGGTATTAACTATCCTTCTGAAAAGTTAGTCAGCTGCTAGGTATTGTACCCATTCAAGCTTCCTGACTTTTCTAGTCTGTTGTATTAGTCATTGGGTTTCAAGTCACAGAAAGCCAACTTAAATAAAGAAAAAGAAATGTGTTGTTTCAAAAAACCAAACCATGATAAAGTCAAGTAAAACCTGTTCCAGAGTTATCTGGAACAAGAAGCTAACTAACAAAATCTATTTCATCTTTATCTGTCTTTCTACGTATCTATCTATCTATCAGCTTTGCTTCTTTGTAAATGTAGGCTTTCATTCTCAACCACTGGAAATTGGCTTGCTCCTTGTAGCTAGAGCAGTGGATGCCAACAGCTTCTAGACTCACACTGTCATAACTCTACCAAGAGAGAGGAAAAGACTTTCCTGTTACTACAGGACTTTGATTAGTCTGATTGGATCCTATACGCATCCCACCCTCACCCCCCAGACCAATGTAGCCAGAGGGATTGAGCTACTAGTATTAGTCCAGCTGGAAAGAGAAGGCCATCCTTTGGCAAGTCACTGTGACCAGAGAGGCAGGGTCATAGAAGGACATAGTATCTCCCATTGACCTACTTGGTGAAGAGGAGAGCCTTGAAAGAGTGAGGCTTATTGCCTGAGAAGAGAAGGGTGTTAGGTAGACAAAAATATAAATGGTCAATAAATTAGGTTAGCACAAAACTCAGGTGCCATTTCTAAATAAATGGGCTGATTGATTTGGAATGGGAGTAGGGAAAATTTTTCTGAAAGTATCTGCTAGAACATGTCTCTCCCAGAATGAGGAATTATAGTTGAGTTATAACTTGATTGTGGTTGAGTTTGAAAAAAATCACATACAGACACTTAGCACTTCACAAATTAAAAGTAAATTCTCTTGCATCAGCTTATTTGAGCTAATAAGAATCCAGTAGATGCTTTAAATTTCCATTTTAGACAGTTTAGACTGAGTCTCAGTAGAAACTCTTTCTTACCCAGGATCCCATAACCATGAGGTAATGGCTTTGGGGTTAGAATCAGTACTTCTGACTTCAAATATTTCTTCCATTACACTCAACTCTTAATGAAAGCATAATTTTTTTTAAAGGATTGTAAGAACTTGTCCAGTTTGAAGAATTGTTGTTATATGTGACTTTTAAATTGTATTCATAAATCCACTATTCCCAATTTATTAAAGTCATGACTTTGCGGACTCCTCATGCCACCACTAAATCTGCTGTTGTTGACACAGTTTCTTCTAAAGGCCAAAATAATTTTTGGTTTCTCTTAAAAATGTTATGGCGTCTCTTAATTCAGTGCTCCATAGGATTATGTATTTCCAGATAGCCTAGAATCAGTGGCTTATAGTAATTCCTAACCCACTAAAGAATGATATGGCCGTTTGACTGATAATGGTAATTCTCTACTCTGACCAGAAAGGAAGAAAGGTACATAAAAATAGAAGTTTTTAAATATTAAATTTATCTGTATCCTTAGCAATTCCTTGATGTTATTATTTGTTTCAGATGAGAAGAAGCAGGTGGTTGCAAATGTGGAGAAACAGCTCGAAGAAGCAAAAGAACTGGTATGTGTAGACTTGGTAACATATTTAAAACACACCCAGAGCCGTTTAATCTGATGCCTTCCTCTAAGTCTCTTTTATTCATTGTAGAAATGTGAAACATTACTGATTAGCAGTTCATGATTCAGCATTCATCAGTTTTTAGATGGAAGAGAATTTAATCACTTCTTGGGATTTTATTCTTCTTAGTAAAGGTGATTCATTAAATGTCCACCTCGAATTTTTATTCCTTCATAATACTTTTCGTAATGGTTATAACTAGCTAACACTTGTTAAAGGCATCCTGGGTACTAGACACTGGGTTAAGCGTATTACTTGCTTTTTAATTTTAATTTTCACCAAAAGCCTGTGAGATAGGTACTATTTGTACCTATTTGTAAAAATTGTTAAGGGTCGAGATTTTCCCCTGCTTGCTCACCAATAAGTGAGCCTGCCACAATCTCATGGATGCTGACAGAAGACATGAGATTCCTAGGTCAGAGACCAAAGGCTTTTATTAGTCACAGCAAAAGCAGCCACCGAAGTTGCAGCAGGCTTGCGTCAGTTCCCTGAGGCCCAGTTCCCACAGGGCTGATGCATGTTTGCCTAGAAGAGTGCCTGCACATACAGCAGATTATCTTATAGGAGAGGAGCATGGAGCCTGGGGAACATACTGCTTTACAACAGCCTGTAAGTAAGCCTGCTCTTTGCCCCGAGGGACACATTGTTTCTTACCCCAACATTGTTCCCTGCCTGGGAATCAGTGGTCAGGACCTTGCATTCTTGGCATGCCCAGCAAGGCATGTAGAAGCGTGAGAGACCCGCAGAGGAGTGTCATTACCCCCATTTTGTAGATGGGGAAACTGAGGCTTAGGAAGATCGAGTAACTTATCTGAAGTCCCACACCCAGTAAGTGGTGAAGTAAGGATTTGTACTTAGACATGCTAAACCCAGAGCTCTAGCTAGCTTCTCAAATCAAGGAGCAAAAAGTATTAAAATATATTGTGTCCTAATTTTTGGTTCAAAGCCAGGTATTGCAAGTATGATTCAATTTGTTACTGCATTGTGCTCCTAAATGAGCGTGTTGCTTTTCTAAATACTGAAGGGTACTACTTGGTGTTCTAACTAATAAACTTACAACAGTTTCCCAAAGCGTGTTTCTGTTAACTGGTGTTGCCTGTTCAAACAAGTTCGGGAAACTGTAGCTTAAACAGAATTCTCCAATTCTGGGTCTTTTTTGGTTATTATTTTTCTATAGAACCTTCTTAGACCCTAAAGTAGGCTACGAGGCACGACAGGTCTCTAGGAAGGGACCCTAAGGGGCAGCACTTCCCAGGCTTATTTGCCTGAGTAACATTTGTTAACGGGACCATACACCCGGGGCTGCTGCTTTGCAGGGTCTGAGGAATAGGCGGCAGTAGCCTCCCATCACACCGCAGACCCTTCCTTCGTGTCTGTGAATGCAAAGGAGGCGAGTTGCAGAGCTGATGCTCCATCTTGCCTGTCTCTGCTTCTTTTCTAGCTGTCGGAACGCCTACGCTCTCCTCACCCTGTAAGATCTACTTCTCATCTCACTATCTCTGCAGGGGCAGCTTTGTTCTAACTCCTCAGCTTCTCATGTTTGCCTCTCTTTTGGAAGTTTTCTTTTTTTTTTTTTTTTATCCCCAATACTTTTCTGTTTCCTTTCTCTCCTTTTTATAGTCAGCTGTTTCTCTCATGCTTCCTGGCCTTCACGTGAAAAGACTGGCCTTTTATATACCATAGCTGCCAACCAGGACGCTTCTTCCTTCAGGTTGGCAGGCTTTACCATAAGTGATACCACAGATCAATTCTTTGGATGTTGAGTTAACTTCTTATCTTGTTGAGTTCTCAGTAGCGGGTGTTTTTGTTTTTGTTTGTTTTGTTTGCCATGAAAACCTGTGTTTTGGTTCATTGGTTTGCCTTCTTTTGGAGACGTTGATTTACTTGATGATGTTAGAAAGCTGGTTTCCTGATAAGCAAGATGTCACTGTACCAAGAAAAACTGAGTTATACCCCCATGGAGCTTACATGGTCATCTCCGTTTGTTACTAACGTAGAGTTTTGTCTTAGATATGTTTCTGTTTGTTTAAAATGATCAGGCAGCTGATTTACTTAATTCTGAGGACATCCTTATTAAGGATACTGATCATTATATACTGTCCTTTTGATGAGGATGCTGGGAGAAGAACTTCATTATGATTTTACTTATTAGGAGGAGTTGTATTTCTGCTGAACAGTTTGCATTAATCTCTTGGACACTGCATGTCTCATAATTACCACTTGACATTGGTCACATGAATGTTGTGACAACGTGAAACTAGTGCATATTAGCCTTATTTCTGGTTTCATTTAAAGTGCTTGTTGTGTGTTTCCTTTTTTTCTTTCTTACCTACTTTTGGTTAGTTTTAAGTGTCCTTGTAAAACGCCTGAAACAAAAATGCAGTTAACGCTCGGATTTTCTCTTACATGTACTTTGCAGTCATTTGTCTGGATGATCCTGCTCAACCTTATTAGAACTAAGTACATAATGACGATCTCAGAGAAGTGCTCTAAGTAATTGCCTTGCTGAGTAACTAACTTATTGGTGCTTCACATTTACTTTGAGACATGTCAATAATTTAAATGGTTACTGCATAAATCAAGGGTAATTAAAACAATCTTTTTTTTTTAATAAAAATTAAGGCCTGTGAATTGAAACATGGTGTTTTGGTTTATCTGAGTTCTACTGTTGTTACTCAGACTCTGACACTGGACAAGTAAGAGTTTTATTAGTGCCAAGTATATAGTGTTCATGGAAATAATTATTAGGATTATTTGCTTTAAAAGGCAAAATATCTGACAACATTTTCGGTTGTGAGTTTATTAGACATGGCCTGAGCCAATTTGTAGTTGTTGGTTTTTATTTTTTAATGCCAAGTATAAACTACAGCTGATACCTTGTATCATGCTTGCTGTATTTCTTCTTCATCATCAGTAATCATCACTCCTATTATTCTCATTAATCTAGTGTTTACCAAGTAAGACACCGTCTTAAGCACATTATAGGAATTACCCTGTTTAATCTTCATAACTGCCCTACAAAAGACGTACTGTTTTTAGAAATGGAAAGAGTAAGACCCAGAGAAGTTAAGAAGCCTGTCCAAGGTTGCATGACTAGTAAGCAGTGTAGCCTATGATGTGAACTGTGAACGCAGGCGTCTGACTTGAAAGCCTGTGTTCTTAACCATCATACTATTTCTGTATTGCCTCCCGTTAAATGCTCATGTGTTGTATGCAAAGTGTTACATCACGACAGGTTGTTATAAAGTGCCCTGCTCTGATTTCAGTGAGCTGTGTAATTTTACGTTACTGTATCCATTTAACTCCATATCAACATGATTAAAAAGTATAAGGCTGGAGTTCAAGATCCCATATTGGTTGCCATGGGATTTTCCTAATCAGAAAAGACTTTCCAGGAGAATTTTCACCAAATGACTAAGACTGGGCTGACATTTCATAGAATAATTGTAGAAATAACGGTTTGGTTTATCTTGGCATAGTTCTGGTGGTTTGGGGTCAGAAGACCAGACCCGGTTGGGTGGAATGATAGGATACTCCACGGATAGTCAGATCATTATCATTGAGGATGTTTGGCTTAATGCACATAGTTTTAAAAAATGCTTGACAGAGTAAACACTTTGGCACTCTATGTGTCCCTTGGCAAGCACTCAGTACCTATTTGTTGACCTTAACAAACATGGAGCACAAAAATAGTCCCAGTGTTCAATTGACCACAGGCAGTTAGCTCCCTGGGTCTGGTTCCTCAAGTTGTAAACTGAGGAATTGGAATTAAATCCTTTCAGCTCGAAATGTCTAGTCACATGAAGAGTAAGCATATGGTTTAAGTCATGTTTTTCTCTCACCCTTCCAGTTGGAACAGATGGATTTGGAAGTCCGAGAGATACCTCCCCAAAGTCGAGGGATGTACAGCAACAGGATGAGGAGCTACAAGCAAGAAATGGGAAAACTTGAGACGGATTTTGTGAGTCAGATTGCACCCTTTGTTGTACTTACTGGTCTTCACACTGGTTTTCATGTCGTTTTTATTGTTGCCCCCACACGCCTCAGTCAGCATGAAGTGCACCGTCTTTGGGAGCTTGTGCCAAAGACTTGGGGATCTAAAAATGCTTGTAGAGCTGGCTAATGATGGACTTGAAGGTATGTTGGATTCCTGACTCACAAAATAGATCCAAATCATGTGGTTTTTTGAGTTTAGATAGTATTTATTGGTATTTAGCATTTATTAGGATTTTGAAATCCAATTTTGGGCCTTTTCAGAGTTTGCAGTCTTTAAACTGCAGTGTTCATGGATGGACTTCAGGGGCTCGTGAATGTCCTGAAATTATATCAGTATTTTTAGATGTGTGTTTCTATGTGTAATCTCTTCTGGGATAGGCTTCATAGCCTTTATTATTAGAGTCTTAAAAAGATACATTTAGGGCTTCCCTGGTGGCACAGTGGTTGAGAGTCCACCTGCCGATGCAGGGGTCATGGGTTCGTGCCCCGGTCCGGGAAGATCCCACATGCCGCGGAGCAGCTGGGCCCGTGAGCCATGGCCGCTGAGCCTGCGCGTCCTGAGCCTGTGCTCCGCAACGGGAGAGGCCACAACAGTGAGAGGCCCGCGTACTGCCAAAAAAAAAAAAAGAATTACATTCCTGAAGAATAGAGTCCTTTAGGTATCATGTATTTGGATAAGCATTTCTCAGATATATTTTCTATTATAAAGAAAAATGGAAACAGCAGCTAGGAGCTAAACATTAGTCTCCAGGTTTTCATTAAAAAATTCATGTGTTCATCTATTTGCTGCCGCAGCTGTCTTCTGCTGTGTCAGGAAACGTCCTTCACCACCACCACCACCACCTTCTGTTGTACGGGACTCACAGTTTATAAAGTGCTTTAACACGCATTATTCATTTCACTGTAGGAAGGGTAGACAGAGCAGATGCGGATTACTATCCCCATTTTACATGTGAGAGAACCAAGAGGTCCAGCTTCATTATGGATTTCATTCAACTAGTCCTTCTTGAGCCCTGTAATGTATCAGGCAGTGTCCTAGGTGCTGGAAAAGAGCCGTGACTAAGAGAAAGTTCTTGCTCTCGTGGAATTTATATTCTAATGGGGAAGACAAGAAACAAGTGAATACATCTATCGTGATTTCAGGTAGTGATAAATGCTATAAAGAAGATGAGTAAATGGACAGACAGTGACCAGCAGGGCGGTGTGGCTGTTTGCTAGGGTGTTTGTTCTCTGTGCCCAAGTGGGAGAGAGGGGTGCCTGTGGTTACAGAAGGGGGGGCAGAGGAAAGACCTCTGAGGGCATTGCAGGCATGGTGAAGACCTTGGCCTCTACTCTCGCTTGGTGAGAAGCAATTGTAGGGTGTTGAGCAGTGAGTGGTCCTTTGCTTCTTGTTTCACAGCTTTGTCCACTTTACCTTACCTTATCACGTGAGGCATTCGAATAGAATGTGGGAAGTATTTATGTAATTCTCTTTTGATTCTTATGGTCTTTTTATATGTAATTCTGTTGTCTTTTAATGGAATGAAGAATATCTTCTTAAAGACATTTGATAATTTCTTATAATCATATACCATACCTCAAAGTATTGAATCCCAGGAAAAAATAGTAGAGATTGGTCCTTCAATCTTCAATTGGTCCTTCAATTGCAATGTTTATTGCAAATGAAGAAGTTCTCTTATTCCCTTTGTAATATTAAGACTTCGGGGGAACATCTATGCCAATGGGGAAAGGTAGAGGACAACTCAGTACTTTTTTCTTCAACCCCATTGTCTGCTTGCTTTCTTTTCTTGGCCCCTCTTCCTCCTCCTCTGCCTGTCCCTCAGATGCCTGGTTTCTTTGGACTTCTTCTCCACTTACCCCACTGTCCTACTCCTCATGTTATCATCCGCTCCTGCGGCTTCAATACCACAGCTATAATTCTCTTGCATTTCTCACTCAGGACTCCCTACAGCTCTAAATTCATATTTCTTACTGCTTACTGGGCACTGCTACCCCAGAGTCCTTTAAACACAAACACTTAAACTTGACAAGTACTAGTCACTTCAGAGTGATGTTTTAACTTTCCCTCTTCATCCTCTTGTGCATCCAGTTGGTCACCGAGAGTTAACAATGCTGTCACTTAAACAGCTCCTGCTTTCATCTGCACTGCTCGAAGCCTTCATGTTTCTCAGTCTGGATGATTGTAGTAGCCTTGCCTCCTTCCATTCTTCTCCCAACCTAAACCACCCTCCACTCCACTCTGGAAATGCCTTTCTAGCACACTGATCTGAATATGTCACACTGTTCCACAAAATCCTAGAGTTCTATTGCCTGCTGAATTGTTAAAAGCCTAGAATTTGTTGGTTTCCTTTGGAGTAGTGCATCTCAATCTTTTTGTCATTGGCACTCCACTAAGGAACTTTTTTAGAGTTTTTTTTTCCTAATTGCTCCTCTCTTCCCCAGGAAATTTTAGTACCATGAATATACTGTGTGTCTGTACATCTGTTCATGTTCTGTGGCCCTTTGGAGGGCCATGCATCTTTGTAATATTTAAGATTCTTCATCCTCCCAAGAACCAGTTCTTGCCTCTGGGCAAGTCACCTCTGTTGACAGTGCCTGTTTTAGAGAATGTTGGCCTTTATTTGGACAAGCAGGTAATTTACTAACAGATCCTTTCAAGGCTTATTGTTAACTTTGTTAGAACGTGTCTAGAGTAGCCTGACTTTTGAGGTTTGTCTTTCTTGGATTCCATTTGAATGACTGGAACGTTCAGTGAATATTCCACCCTCTGTTTGGTCAGAATTGTATCTCCCTGCTTTGGGTGACCTCCAGAATCTCCATTCCACCCATGGCTCCCCAATAAATGTCCTCTGTTACACCTCTTACCTCTACATACGCAAGTTCATTTTCAGCCAAAGACTTAACAGGACCCCTTTATAGATTTCTGGAGCTCCTTCTCTCCATTACTCTGCTAAGTTTCATCCATCTCGGCAGTCCCCACCTCCAGTATCTACCTCCTAAGCTTAGAGACATGTTAGGCTCCATTTGGGCTCCACCCCCCGTGCTGGAATCTGATCAGTGCCTACGGCTGAGAGCCATGGTGATTGTAGGGTTCATTTCAAGTGTTCTCTCCTCACAGGATTTCAGTCCTACACTGCCTATTGTCCAGTTTTTTAAAACGATTGCTTCACACATTTTGTCCACACATTTAGAGACAGAGGGTTGGTCTTGTATCAGTTACTTTGTCATTACTGGCGTGAAAGTTCAGTAGAGTTTAATGTTTATTAATCCTTAGTGGATAATTGTGTACATCTGAGAATGAAAAAAGAATAATAGTCTGCTCTTTACAATGACCTATCATAGAATTTAATCTGTAGCTGAATAAATACATACTTATAAGATTTTAAAATATGGGTTATAATTTGCAGTCATAGTTGTGGGAAGGTAAGGGAAATCAGCAGACACTGCTATGTTCCCTTTTACACTCTTGCTACCCCTGATGATTCTGTTCACTTGCCTAATTCCATTTTTCTTGATTTTTGGCCTCTTTATAGCCTCATATTGTTCATTTTGGATTCTTACAGTCTCAGAGTAATAGGAATATTAGGTCCAGAGAAGTTCAAATCCAGTCACATTTTTGAGATGAGGAAATGGAGGAACAGGGGGACCAAATGTCTTACCTTAAAGTCACACTGCTGTTTAGAGCAAGGACCAGAATCAAATAACTTAAACACACATTCTGATGTTCTCTCCATGATCCTTTGCAACTCCCTACCCTCAACTTCACATTTTCATAAAAATCAATTTAATAGCTCCTTTGTATGTTTGAAAACAATGTAAAAATTAGAATTCATGTATTTAAGCCATTCTTGTAATTTCTTCCTTCAGTATTGGTATGAGGTTAGCTAGGGCATGGTCATGTCCAGGAAAATGAACCAGCTAAAAGGAGGAAAAATGTAGTTGAGGATTTTTTCAAGTTTAAGATTATTGTTTGCTTCTTAAGAAAATAAAATCAAGCAAACAAAAACCCCTAAACTTGTACAAACAACAACAAAAAACAAACGTTGTATAAAGTATTTGACCAAGTCTCAGTAAGTAGAAAAAGAAAGGGACAAATAAGTGATGTACCAGGATAAGATTCCCTAAGTCATGAGGACGTGGTGTGTTGAATGATGAATGTCTTTTGCATCTGATGTTGTAATACTATGATGCTTGCGCCATCTTGTGGCTGATTTGTATAGTTGCATATTTCTTTTTTTTTTTGTAACAAAGCTGAACTTCCTTTAAGATGTATACACAGACTACAGGACTTAGGGTGGAGGATTAGCAGTAGAGCTTTTTAGCCCCAGTCTCAAGTTCACTTCTATCCCAGGTCAGTGGTGCCCGAATGCTGTCCTCTTCCTGTTTGGCAGGCTGTGTGATGTGATTGTTAGACCAGCTCCTAGTGCAGAGCTGTCTACATCAGAGAATGGCACTTCTGTTGACAGTCTCAGCAGTGAGGCTGAATGGTCCTGGAAACCCAACTTCCTGCGGACTATCGGAGTTGGTCCCTTAGGTCAGGGCTCAAAGGATGTTGTGGAACAGCTTGACGCTTTCACTGCTGCTACCTACACTCGCTCTTTTAACAGGTGAATGGACAACTTGAGTATCCGAGTTTATGACTGAAGCCAGTAGCTGTATTCTATTTTTTTAAGTCTAAGATAGACTAAAGAAGCATAAATGAGAGCGATGAACCCTTTTAAATTATGACTTTTGTTGGAAGGTCAAAAACTTGATGCTTCTGTGTATCTTTCCTGTTCTTGTGACTTCTTGAGATATTTTACTTCTGTTCTGTGGAAGCTATAGAAAACCATGAAAGCATGTTTTAGAAATTTGGATCATGTCAGTGGTAATATGTTGTAATTATGACATCAGCTGTCCCTCTTGCAGGAGCATAAGTACATTCTAGAAAGAAATAAGAAAGCCAGACTGGACGGAATCATTCCA